TTAGGTTTAGGGGGCAATCACTTTTTCACACAGGGCCATGTAGGTTTGGATTTTGTTTTTCCCTTAATAATAAAAACCTTCATTTAAAAACTGCATTTTGTGTTTACTTGTGTTATCTTAGTCTAATGTTTCAGTTTGTTTGATGATCTGAAACATTTCAGTGTGACAAACATGCAAAAAATAAGAAATCAGGAAGGGGGCAAACACTTTTTCACACCACTGTATATCTCTAGCTGCTCCAGTTCACGCAGCTGTGAGAATATTCTTACATTTTTGTACCTACATTAAAACTAAATGATCTGTTGTATGTTTGTTTAAACTTTTTTACATACATAAGTGCTCAACTATAGGCATTTGTCTATATACTTTAAGTGGGTAATTGTATTCTAATGTGGTTAAAAGATATTAGCATTTTGTGTATGCCATTTTTAAACAACCTTTCTTATTTAACAATTTAATGAAAAATGACATGAATTTTGATATTACACTGGCAAGCCTTTTAGAAGTTATTCCTCCATCTTCTCTGACTGTACCTTTTACTTTCTCAGGTGGCGAAATTGAAGTTATTAATTTTGATGAGTATTGTAAGCTTGTCAAACTCATTGATTCCAGACACATTCATCTCCCTGGCTAAAAGAAATTAGCACAGAGAGGTTTAAGTAACTGTGATAGTTTTCCTCTGGTTGGCCTGTTCACCTCTAATATAAAACCTCATTTCTTTCTCTGTGGGCTTAATTTAAGAGTAAGGAAATCAAGCAGGTCATGGGGTGGGAGTAAATCCTTCCCTTTGTGAGCCATTCGAACCAAGTACAGAGAGGCATCTTGGTGAGTGCAAGGCTTTCTCTCTCCACCTCATCAAAATGAAGCAGAGAATGGGTGCTAATCCTGTACAGGAAGACCACATTTTTATTAACATGTGCATGTATACGTGGACCTATGTTACAACAAGGCAAACACCAGCCATAGGAAAAGACATTTAATAAAATAACCTTTTTACATCACTAATGTACATCCGAATGAACATTTTATTATCCTTTATACCTGTTATTCATTTTTTTAAGAATGGAGTTTTCTTTAAATAGCCGTTTGTACATACAGTACAAGTTTTATTTTATTTAAATCCCTGATGCATTTCATATTGTTTTACATAGAACTCTTCATTTCTCTTAATAGAAAAGCATATTGTAGGGTCTGTTAAAAGGGAAACTGAAATAACTGAAATCCTTTCAAATCAAGTTTTATAAATATTAGGGAAGTTCTGAATGAATGGCCTGTTAGAAGCCAGATCACTGAGCCCTGTTTTGTGTGTAATGAAATGTATGCCTCCCCTTGGAGAATGTGAAGGCAATACATTACATTTGTGCTTTGTGAGGCCAGGAAAAAAACACTCCATAATTTATTGGGCAAGATTTTGCTTAGAAATATTCCTTTTTTTTTCATCACATTCAACAGGTGTGTATGCTATACCATTACCAATGGGTACAGAAGAGCAGGTCATTCACAACAATATTGACGTTTTATTTACATGCAACATGCAGTGCAGTACTGGCTCTTCTGAGATTTCCTCAGAAGCTGCTGACCTGGAGTCATGGTCAACATACTTTTTTTCTGTGGTAAAGCAGTTGAGGACAGTTCCATGGGACCTCTGGTTGGACATACAGTACGTAATCCCCCGTCCTAGTTTATCTTTGCAGGTGCTATTCATTAATGTATACACAATTGCCAAAACCTTTAGTTACACTTAACTCTTACAGCACAAGCTTAAACACAGAATGAAATACAGGATAATCATCACCACACATTACAGAATCTCAATTTTTCATTCCGCTTAGATATAGAATGCTAATGAGAAAGACGGGTATAATGCTCCTCCTTTAAACCATCTTGGGCCAGTTTTCCTGTTCAGCACTAGTTATATTTTTCTTTATTTTGCGGATGGATATTGGTTTAAGAATGATATGGGGCTGCGGATGCAGACTTGGTTGCCTAAGCGCTTTATGAATATAGTGCTGCATTGAGACTGCTTGCGCTTCACTCTGATTCATCTCTGTGGTAGGCAGCGGGCGAACAAGCGAGAGAGGGGGAGAGAGAAACAGAAGAGCGAGTGTCTCGGTTTCTTGTACAGTACACACAACTCGCTACTAACAGGAAGCTGTCCATCAGCCAAACCTGCTGAAAATGATTCTCACCCTGATCAGTTTCCTCGGATTGCTCGTCTCCGGCAGTCAAGGTAGGACAGAATATTACCTGGCAAGATGGGGAATAAGTTGCTAACTGCCTTTTTTTTAATTCCCCAGTTTAAAAAAAAAATCAGTCTTGGTTCAAAGTGCGATGTGTTGTTAAGATGAACTAGCTAAAGAGGGAGAGTGAGAGAGGCGGATTAAGACTGCAGTGTTTTGTAGTTGGAGCACGTCCTAATGGAAAAAAATAAAAATAAGGGTATTGTTTTGAAGGAATTGGCAATCAAATAGGGTTCGTGGACAGGCGTGCGTTCTGATCTCTTTTTCATCCTATAGTGCTGTTTACCCAAAAGTGCGATTCTTGAGCAGGAAGAGAATCCTGGAATCTTGGGTTTCGATTAATATCTTGCAAGTTGTAAACTGGCACAATGTCGATGGAATGTGTGCAACCAGTATATGTTTCACAGAGCATAAGTGAGTTTATCATACCAATATTGTGGGGATAGAAAGGAGTTGAACAGATGTTTTGAGATTTGATGTCTAGAGTGCTACAGAATAAGCGAAACAACGGTTCTTTCTAGCAGACATCAGCGCACCCAAACCGTAAACCCAGTGTTCACACTTCACATTTATGTGGTAAGGTAACTTATGTGTAGTTTTTAGTGTCACTGCTCAGTTTAGGTCTCTTCTCTGGGCTTGTACGCGGTAGATTTAGCTTTAAATTAATATATTGACAATGGGCAGTGATATGTTATTTCAATAACACATTGGGGGGTGCTACTGTTTGATTCATTACATCAGTACCAGATTAATTCAAAGGTAAAATACAATTTGGGATTCCCTTTTAGAAGAATAATTCATTTTGAAATCAAACAGATGGATAGGGAGGTTGACTGGTATTAAGACAAACTGATAAATTCGCAGACTTGCAGCCACTGTCCCACGCAGACGCGTTCCTCGGAAAAGCTAGCAGATTCAATGAAGACATTATTTGCCTTCCAAAGCCTGCAACCTGAAAGTTGCTCATCTGTGCTAGCGGCTGCAAAAACCTCAAAGCCAGTGTGAGAAAAAGAGAGGGAGAAGGACAAATGTCTTGTCTTGTTCTTAATAAAGGACGGCAGGTGGGGGTAGAGCGCTACACATAGATCTGAGAAAGTGGGAATTGAATCAAAGACCATTCATCACTAGGGCAGGTTCTGTGCACGGAACGCTCCACCACATGCTCTTTCTCCTTATGCTTTTAGCCCCGTTTGAGCCCAGAAATACAGCAATAACCCTCTAGTCATTTACTCGGTTGTTGTCAGCTAACACTACAGTACAGCGCACAAAATTCACTAGCTGCTTTATGTGGTCATTTTAAAATCAAGCTAATTAATATGCTCATATTTTTGGTCCCCAGGGCAAACTGTCAAGTTTACGGCTGACTGCTGAGAAAATGGTGACCTGATTAGTACAGTGAACACACAACCACAAACTAGTACGGTCATTATTATTACAAATTTTACATGTCGCTCTCATTTTTCATGTGCGCGAATTGCAAGATGGAATTATTACAGCGTTTTGTCTGTAAAACTGAAATAATTTTAAAATATATTTTCCCTCTTTTATCTGGTTTCCCTATTTTTGCTTGTTCTCAGAACCTTCTCATTAATCGCCAAAAAAAAAGAATCGCTCGATCAGCCCAGCGCTAAGTTTTTACTTGAGATGAAAAGTACAAAAATACGCTCTCTCTTTAATTACCACAAGTTTCATAGGCACAAGCTGATTCATCATTATCTATTCGCAATACTTCAATGACGAGGTTTAGTTGGGGCTTCTTGTGAGTTATCTAAGAAAATGGGAGTGAAAGTACTGTAATGCTTGTTTTTACCTCAGTTCTATAGGTTTGTTGAGTAACATAGTAAAATATATAGACCTGCACAGTATAGTATTCTTAATGTTTATTATTTTTTAGAGGTAACACTACTTTTTATGCCGTTATATATAAATATTGAAGGAAGTGTTAACCTCTTATTTTGCTGTATCAAAAGCATTGTCTGGAGGAATAATATTGTAATGCAACGGGGGTTCAGGCGGGCGCCTTTGCCTCATTAGGTCGGCCCCCCACCGTCGGGGGCTCGAACCCAGGACTCCTGCATCACTCAACAGAGACCCAGCCCAGTGAGCCAAAGAGAGATCTCTGTACAGCCCAGTAGCTGTAGTCCTGCTATCACAGGGAAGGGCGGCGACGTCACCACTCTGGTAAGCTGGCTCTTACACACCCTGATGGCCGTATGCGTTACACTCTCCCCTGCTTAACTCACCATCCCCGGTGAAGGGCTATCCCATCCCGCTGCTGACACCAATGTAACGCAACAGGGGATCAGGCAGGCGCCCTTGCCGCATTAGGTCGGCCCTGCACCTTCGGGGGCTAGAACCTGGGACTCCCGCGTCACTCAACAGGGACCCAGTCCAGTGAGCTAAAGAGAGATCTCTCCCCGGCAACCACTCCCAGCATGCCCAGCGGTACTAAAAGTGACTAGGGGCGCTTCCTCCTCACCACCAGGCGAGGGAGTTACACTATGATTAATTTGATTTCATTGTGTGTTTCACAACCATTTTTCACTGAATATAGTAAAGTGTATCTATGTTTTTAAACTTAAATTTAGAATATACAAGTCTCCAGATGAAACAATTGGGAATCCTAAAAAACTAGAAAGGCACAGATGGCTCAGTTATAATACTGACTGTTGCAGGCACGACTTGTGTTTGGAGTAGGACGAATACATTGGTATATATTTACTAGGATTCCAAGATGCAGAACTAAACAGTAATATGAATGTACTTATACAGAAGAAAATTAGAATAGAATAAGTGGTGGAAAATTCCTTATATTACTTTTAGTGCTATCCAACCACAGCATTGCAAAATAAAAAAGTGCAAATCATAAATATCTCATCAAATGTGAAAATGCATTAACTCATGCTGTAGTTGTGTCCCTTCGTTTTCAGTATTTCATGTCAATCAAACAGCTTTTCCAGGTTGATTCATTAATGTCATAAAGAAAGGCAAAAATGTGATTTCATTTAATGTGAAGTGTAAGGTTCCAATATGTTTAATAAATCAAGTGAGACTTGTCTATCAGAATGAAATTTCCTTCAAATCAAATTCACTTTCTTTCTTGACAGCAAGCTTTATTGAGTGTTTATTTTAACATTTTTAAATGTGAAAGGTTTCATGGGAAAATCATGATCAATAAACCCAAGTCAATTTGAAAAAAAAACTGATCCCTCATCTCAAGGTGACAGTGAGCAAACTTTGGTTTCTCTTCGGATACAGGAATATGTTTTGGAAGGAAGGTGTTATTAAACCATGACATTTTTTCAAAGGTTGCTTTTACAGCAGGTGACTATTATTTATGTGTTAGCTTTATAAAGTCATCTCGGTCACAATTGAGACCCTTCATATTCCATTATTTCATTATCCGTAGGGTGTTAGTCTTTATTTTATGGTCTGGGCTTTTTTGAATATGGTAAAAAGGCTGGTTAATGACGGATAAAACTTTGAAGATAAAACTCTGAAGTCAGTAATGTAGTTTCTCAAATGCAACAAGTACAGTACATCTACCTTCACTTTTGTTATATTAATGTTTGATATTTTGTATTTATATGCACTCCACATAAAAGTAAAAAAATGTGGTGTTTATTTGAATAACTATTAAAATATTAAATCGGAACAATAAATAACCACCTAACAACTGCAAATAATGTACCAAACAGTGTACTAATAGGGATTCTCTGCAGCAGAGATGCAAGATCACCCTCAACAGTAGAACCTTTTATGTATTTTGGACAATCAGGACCAAGGCCAGTGAAGTACAGTAGGTAGGTGACAATTAATTCTTTAATATTTGCCAGTTCAACAGAGAGTTTTAGGGCTTCAGCACACAGCTGAGATGAAGGAGCCTCAAGAATTCATAAAGATAATACATTTTATTACACAGGCATAAAATGTGGAAGATCATTTTGTCTGCAGGGTTTCAAAGCACCAGCATATGAAGAGCTGGGAGAAGTTAGTAAATTGTTTGTTAATAGCTGAACCGGAATTATAACCTGCAGACACATGAGTCCCACAGGACATGGATAAGACAACCCATGTTTAGGAAAAAGCAAAGTCTAACTACACTATGGTAACAGTAAAGCAGACATAAACAATGTGTTACACTCTGTGACAAAGGCAGCTGTGGATAATTCAACACATTCTCCACAGCGGAAAACTCTTAGGAAGCCTCCTTGTATACAGTATCTGAAGAAAATGAACAATCAGGATTTTAACACAGAGAATATGACAACTTTATAAACACTTTCCATTAGAAGAACTCAGAGTGTATTGTAGTGCCACTCGGGGTGCTTTAACATGCGCATGGAAGGTGGGCTGAGTACAGCGCCTGGGGGCGGGACTACAGGACTGTATATAGTAGGGTGGAGGCTGGGAGACAGCCCCTTCCCTTCATGTCTCTGTGTCAGTGAAGGTGTAGCGCTGTAACCCCTGTCCTTGTGTCTGTACCTTTCCCGGTTCAAGTTCAAGTTCAAGTTAATAAATGTCTTCAACCTTATGCCCTGATTCCCATGCCTGCTCTATTCCGTACCAAAACCCGGATTCATTACAGTATGAACAATGAGAAAACATTACAAATGAGCTTGTGAGGTTCCTGCTAGCTCATTCACCAGCAGTATCCTTACACCAGTTCTTCAACAGGTGCAATGTGGTAAGGTGTCTTGGTCCATGAAGATCTCTCAAAATCTCTCACTGCCCATGCTTCTCCTTGTGATTTGCTTTACACAGAACCATATCATACTGATTAGAGTAATAATATGTCACTGTGGAAAACATAGATTCATGTAAGGTGTAGACAATTTTTTTCAATTTGTATTTTTATAGTCTAATCAATTTTAAAGTAACAAATGTGTAGAGATTAAATTAAGCATTTAAAGCAATTTATTTGATGTAGATAACTGTGACAGGCACATAGCATCTGAAATACTTGAAGTGGAACATTTCAAACACAAAA